TTCCAAAGGTATCATTCAAACCAATTCTGCAACCATATCAAAAAAAGAGACAGCTGTTACCTAGTTGAGTCATATTAGGTATGAGCATGGAAACAGAAAACTACTTTTGCTCTGTGCTAGCAGAAAAGCACATATGAAATTGCAGAAATTAAAACATGCACAAATCACATTTGCAGATAATACTACATAAGCAGGAAAATACTGTTACACAGAATGATGGAAGAAAATGCCTAAGTTGTAGGAGAGAAATGAAGAGTTCTTTTTTCACTTTAATAAGTAAAAACAGTTTGCTATTTAATAAGCAAGTCAGTATTACATATTTTGAACAGACAAACCAAAATACTGGTTTGCCAGATCTATGAAGTGTTAGCACAGACAATTTTGTCTCTGCAAGTGATGTTCCTCAGAATGAAGTGTAGTGGGAAAAAGACTAAAGTGCAAAAGCCCCAGAAAAAAAAAAAAAAGTCTGTCTTGCTCATCTCTCATTCATTTGTCTCCAGGGAGTAGAAAGTTTAACTTATCTCAAATACAAAAGTACTGTCCAGGCCACAAGTCGTCTGGGCATTCTTCTTCTTCTCTCTTCTGCACATTGGTGGAACTACAATCTTCTGGGATTTGATATTTCATTTACAAGTTGGGCTGAACTCTTATGGAAATCACTGGGACAAGTTCTGTGATTAAACTGATCTATTTTCTACCACTAGTTTTAGACTAGCAAGATTCTATATGGAGACTCTGTACCTTACTGAAATACAAATACCAGCCCTTCTGGGCACTTCATTCAAGTTTTACGCTTTTGATTAGCCACCTAACATTAATAAGTTGCTTTTCTATATCAAACTGCCTTCATTAGTTCAGCTGCAAATCTGCCCTGACACTCATTAGGAATTCTTTCCTAAATTCCTTACCGAATAGTGTCAAAAGACAGTGCTGATCTCAGTGCACTTCTTTAAACATTACTGTGATTAACAAACTCATTAATAGAACTTTTCTTTAGGATAAAAGAAAGAAGAGGCTTTCTGTTATAAATTCAAATTCCCTTTAATATTACCCAAGCCCATTAGTAAACAATAAGGTGCTTGTAAAGCAGAACTTCTACATCTTCAATATGAAAATCCCATAAAACTGGATCAGGTGTTTTTTTCAGAATTCAGTTTTTCAGTCTTGCTATTCACAGATAAACAAATTGCAGCATTGATAAGCAGAATATGAACTTGAGAGTGATTGCAGCACTTTCCTGCAAAGCACAAGTTACTAAGGCTTAGGAATCTGAACAGATAGCAGCAGTGCAATTCACAGGCATACTTCGACACAGAGAGACACAGGCTGTCACATAAACAATGACGAAATCAAGACTGTTAGAGATAAAACAATAGTTTTAAGCCTCCAAACAACTGAAAATGCTCTTTTTTTTTCTTCCAAAACACTTCTTCCATAGACGTTTGAATAGCAGATCTTACAACAGATGTATGTAAAGTTTTTCATATCAGAGGCATTGAATTTCTCCCTCAGAAAAGTTACTACATCACAGTGCTGACAGGTTTTGTTCTTTCCCTGAGAAATTAAATAAAAGTATTACATAATCCTGTATAATGTTTAAATTAATGATGGTAACTTTTACTTAACATGTCATAGAATACAAAGTTGCCAGAATGTTCAGATACTTGCAGTTATACACTCAAAACTGAACATACAAAACAGACTATTTGACCTACAGAAAGATCAAACTGACCATCCAAATGCAAGATTTTAGTTCTCACTCTTCCACTTTCAAATTGAGAACCATTATTTACCAGTTTTTCTAGAGAGATGACATCATAAAGAGTTCAGGCCCACACTTATTTATATCCTATGTCAAACAACTGCAGATACCAACTCTAGGTACTACACCTTGAATACATTTAACTATGAAGAGTTTCACATCAATGCAGAAATTATCCCCAAATTTTCCCCTTCCCAACCCAAATTCATCAAGTGGATTGTTATGCAAGCTTTTGTTATGGAGGAGTACGTCTTCATGTGTTGGCAAACCATGGGACTTTGCCTGCAATTCTGAATCGCGAGTTTCAGAAGTTGAGAAAAAAAACCACATTACATCTTCAAGTATTTCTATAGTAGCTTATTTTCTTACCAGAAGGAGCGGGTTCGTTGTTTACCTTAAATGTGGAACAGACGATTTTTCTTCTGCAGCATAACTTTTATTTGTTAGAGTGTTTCTGCTTTCTAGTCTAAATTTATTCATAGGTGCAAACATTCGCTTTGATAAGTTGGCCCATAGAATGTTAACTAGTGTCTCATAATGAGTATTCCATTTGCAGTAAAATGGAAACGTTTGATCAAAATTCAGCTTAGGTTAATGTTCTTGGCAATAACATCTTTTTCCTTGAAGAATCATAAAAAGGGCAAGCAAAAGCTATTCAACCATATAAGGGAAACTTGTAAAACAAAAGGATTATTTCTGGAAACTATTTTGTAGTCTTGGTTCAAACCTAAGTATAATTGCTTCTCAAACTTATCACTTAGCTCCCTTTTAATAAGAAAAAAAAAAAATCTTTCTGAAAAACTATGTTAGCAACCAAAAACTGGCAACCTAAAGCTCTGACAACAGAGTTAGAAGTACAAATGAACTGAAATAATTTCTCATAATTGTACCAGTAACTATAACAGACTGTATAAAATGACAATTCAGCAACCGATTTCCTAAATGCAGGGGATGTGAGGGGAACAGTTGTATGCATTATCTTCAGCAATCCTGTCATTTTATGCTAGTTTGGGCCAGCAGAACCCAAAAGTTGAATGAGGAAGACTTTACAGAAAAGCATCAGTAGAAACAAGCAAGCAAAAAACCAAGGAAACAAACAAAAAAACCACCAAGACTATGATTTCAGGGAAGTGTTGTTCTACAATTTTAACTAATTCATGTTTCTATTTGGTTTGTGTGTTTTTCATACGCCTTGTAGGTAATTACTGGCATCTCTTTCCAATCCTATCTCTATGACTTCTGTCAACTTCTAACAGAAAATTTGGAAAACCTGTGGATCTTTTTTTCTCAATCGGAAGCGCCATCCATCTCATGCAGTTCCCCATCTCAGCCAATGTAAACTCTTATCTCCAGAGCTGTGTAATCCCCTAGGCCATTTGATCATATTTTTATCTGTACTGTGATACCATGATAAGTGATGTACAAATAGCAGACTAGATAGAAGTCACTGAAGTTTTTTTCAAATCCTGGTACAGCTCATCTTTCCTCAGGGATGTGGTGAACAGCAAGGGCTATATACTATATGTATAATTTGGGGGAGGCCTTCTTGTTTTGTTAAAGCTGCTGCAGTTATTCCAATGATTATCTGAGAGCACTGGATATTGAATCTTTAAAGAGGACAGCAGTTCTCAATAGCAGTTTTTAATTGAAGAGTCAGATATGCATCCGTGTTGACGCTACAGAAGTCCAGTGCAAAGCAAACAACAGTGACAAAAGTAATGGTGGGCCCCCTCTCCAGGACAGGACAGCATAGCTTCTCAGAGAAGAAAATCCATGACAGTGAAATCTTCACTCTGACAGACAACTTAGGTAGAGCTTTAGCTCTCCCACTGAGCCCATCTGTGGAGGAAATTCACCTTCCTCTCAAAATGTTCCCCCACATTACAGCTTTATGAAGCCTGTATAAGTTGGTAGTCTGTTATGAGAGTTTCAAGAGTTCACTGAAACTCTAAAGCAAAAGGGGAAAAGGAGATAGACAGCTGCATACAAAGTAGGATTACACATACACAAGCTCCAGAGGATGTCCAGCAGATGATATAGCTCTTACACATGTGTAGTATAGTAAGCTTAAGACACTCCATAAAGAAACTCTAACACAGATATGTCTGCTACACATGAACAAGGGGCAGAAAGACTGATAAGCAATAGATGTTAAGGCTGACTAGTATTCCACTTCTGTAGAGAACCACAAAGCCAGATCACTAGAGCTTGTTAAAAGATCTTACTGATACTGTTAGTACCCAAACACTGTATAAAAATAAATAAAAGATAAAGTAAAATTTTCTTTTTGGGGACTTCTTCCCCAGAAACAGTTAAGTAATGCACCTGCAGTAAAACAACAAGGATGTTGGTGTTCTTGAGTATTCTAGGAACTGATACTTAGAGAACTACCTTTCTAAATATAAAATAGCGAAAGAAGTAAGGGAGTATAAGAGAAATAGAAGCATTTTAAAGTTAATTTTGTAATTTTACAGTATAGATTTTAATTCTTCCTGACAGCATCTGTTTTCAAAACAGAGCATGCTTACGAACCACAAGATGGTAGAATCCTTGTTTGTTCCTAGCCTTACCCACAAACTCCCATCTCTTAGGCATTACATTTTACATGTCCGTCAAGATATAACTTCAAATAAAACCCTGTGTTATCTCAAGCAAATCGAATGTTGTTACAAACACATAGTTGCACATCTGTAAGTGTACTTATATATTTCCATAGTTACTCTATTTGTGTGCTGTACAAACCAGAGACTAACAATAGTATTAAAAGGGAGTATTCATTGGATGAAGCAAGTCAACCGCATAAACAAAAACAGCTAAAGAAAATGTTAAAGTTCCTTATTTGGGTTTTTGTTTTAAACTAATTTTATGTTATCCCAAATCGTGATTGAAAATCCCAGTGAAGAAAAAGCAGGAGGGAAGAATGGGGGACACAACTGGTACTCATCGCTATTTTAGATTCAGTTACCCAGGATTTGCAAAACAATGCCCACAGTGTCCAAGTTACCCATTCTGTACATCAAGATGTCTACTGTTTTTTGTGACATTTGGAATAATTATTTACCCAGATAAATCTGACAAATTTCTGCTGTCACTTGAGACAAACCTCAACGGTAAATAAATACATATTGAAAATCTAACACAGTGAGGGAAAAGTAGCCAAGTAAACAAAAGCAATCAAGCTCATGAGGGGGAAGGGAAGAGAAATAAAAGGGGATTAGGGAGCAGAAGATGTACTTACTGTTTGGTTATCTTCGTACAGCTTCAGGTCGTATCCACTCAGCTCCACACAGAAAATTATTGCTGTAACCCCCTCGAAACAGTGGATCCATTTTTTGCGTTCAGATCTCTGTCCACCCACATCCACCATTTTGAAAGTCAGCTCTTTGAACGTGAACTTATTTTCTACAATCCCTGTGGTCATGTCCCGAGAACGCAGAATATCTTCCACGGTAGGGATGTAGTCCAGTGCTGCAATCCTTTCTAGGTCATTTAAGTAGTATGCAGCATTATCCTCCAGGTGGTACTCGTTGGAGCGGCAGAAACACTCCTGCACACCTGGATCTGCCCAGAGCCGTTTCATGACTCCCAGAAGCTCAGGGGTGATCTCGCCTTTGCTCTCAGCTGGACCTGTCAGGGCAAAGAGCTGCACAGCATCATATGCTCTGTCAGGGTTATGAAATTCTATCTTAAGCGTAGCTAGAGCCCGAATGATGCGTGTGAGGGAGTCAATTGCATTATAGATAATCAGAGGTTTGTATTCCTTACAAGCCTCCAAATTAAAGCCACCACTGTGAATGATTTTCATCTGCTTCACAATAGTACTCTTCCCAGAGTTGCTGGTGCCCAGGAGAAGCAGCTTGATCTCTCTTCGTTGGCGCTGGCTTTCAGAGCGCAGGTGGCGGTCAATCCGACGGGACCGCCGCGCTGCCTCTTTCTCCTCAGAGCTTTGCCTACATCCCATGGTATAGCAGGCTGTTACAGAAAGGGAAGGCTGGAGATTGTCTCAGTTCTTTGTGTCTCTAAGAAAGATCTGTGGTGTCTATCAGCTCTCGTGCCAGGCACACCTTGTACGGGGAAGAAAAATCCAATACCTACTGGTCCAAGAGGCTTGTACCACCTAATTCAGTGCCAGCAGGGGTGCAAACATGTGTAGATAGGCAACCACAGAAAAAGTCTCTTCAGTAAATCTCATGGCACTCCCCTTTACAGTGCATAAACAGTGGCACATTCCTGTTAATGAAGGGACGCTTCCCTTTGCCACAGTTTGGCTAGATCCATCAAATATTCTTTTCTGTTCTGCATAATTATTTTGCTGCCTTCTGTCCAAAGGTAAGGAGCTGCACTTTCACCTTCGCTGCTCTAGCCCTCGTCTTCTTACTGTATTTTCTAGTTGCTGTGGTGATGCTGCTAGATAATGTTGACACTCTTTTCAGTTGTACTGCATTTGTTGTTCCTCTGCTCTCACTTCTTCAGCTGATTCAACTCAGTTCTGTAAGCCTGTGCTTTCCACCTGCCAAACAACGAGAGAAAGAAGTGAATGAAGTGAGAGACTGCTTCCCTGCTGTAAACTGCTCGCTGTTTTCTCCTCTTCTAGACTTCGAAACCTTTTATTATCTCAACTGTAAAATAGAGATGGAAATATACGTAAAGAAAAACAAAAATTCAAAATCCCAGCAATAATGTAGGGACAGCTGAAACTCGCAGACCTAAGAAAATGTGGTTTCTGAACAATAGTAAATCAAGTCTCCTTTTCAGCCTTCTGTGTTTTATTATCTAAACCTACATGAAAACAAACAGCACTGAGCTGTGTCCCAATTTCTCCCTCAGCAAGAGCTTATGGCAGTGCTTTTCCTGCACGGTCCTGTTCTGACTGGTTTTCCTGAAGCAGAAAAATGAAACAATCACAACTACTTTTCCCAGTCTCTCTATTTATATCAATATCTTGTACTCAGATGTTCTCCTGAGTTTTCTTTCATCTTTTCTGTTTTGTTTGTACTGAACATTTAAGTAACTAAATTAGGAAGCAAAAGGAAGCAATTGAGTTTTCTTCATGATTTTGTGAAAGAGAGAAAGTTACTGATATTTGCAGAATATGGCAACGTATTCCTTCTCCTTGCAAGAATGGAACTGTTAAGCCTCCTACCTGCATAATCAACAGTATATCAAATGATATACTACTGTCACAAACTTTGTAAGCTTTTTTCCCTAGCAAAGCTAACATTGGCTAAGCCACTTCCATTTTTTTCCTGCAAAAATTCTGGGAGAGGTAGGAAAAAATGACCGGAAGGTAAAGATTTCATGAAATAGAAGCACAGGAAATCCGATCCAAAGCAAGGTCTGAAATCTTTGCAGTTACTGTTAGAGCAACTTTCCCAAATTAGGGTTTAAGCTTACTAGTTGGAACTCTGCAGAAGGAACAGCAGGAAGCAGTTACCTCTCGCAAAAGGAAACAGCTGATTGGTGACTTGTCTTTTTTTCTAGGAAGGGCTTGCTGCTCTCACTGAGCTTTGAGCACCAGCAGTCACGCTTTCCTTATTGTATGCTGGCCCTACCTCACTGTCTGTCTACTTCTGTCTGTAGGGTCTCTTCGGTGAGCTTTTCTTTTTTACTAACTAAACTGCATGCCACTGAGATATTCTTAGAGGTAGGTTTAACAAAATGGCAAAACCTACTAAACAAATACTATTTCCATTGCATTTTAATAAGACTGTCTCTCAAACCCCACTTTAAATGTTACCCTAGAAAGTCATTTGAAGTTCTTCCTGCATGAAGTTACTAGCATTTCTATATAGATGGGATGAAGCAAAAAATGCATACTGAAGAGGATGATTCCACACTAGTAGGAAATGGACAGAATGATCCAGGCCAGGTGCTTCATCTTTAACTTTTATGGGAAAAGAAACTGACCTACAACTACTTGAAACTTCTTGCACTTTACTTTTACTTTCTTAAGCATAATGATAAAACCCGTATTGGGCAGGAAACATTCCAACATTCAAAAATAATCATATGTAGATTAAGTATTTGAAATTGGAGCACTGGATTTAACAATATTTTTCCTTTTTGAACATCACTTACATCATGGGATGATTCACTTTTACAGATATACCTTCCCTTGCCATCCTAATCTTAGCATCTGTTTTTTGCAGTTTTCTCCCTATATAGTTTTCTCTCTGGGGATTTTTCACATAACTTACAGATCTCATCTAGTTTATGATGGGCGGGCAGGTGTGATGGTAGAGTGTCTGTGCCTGCTTTCAGATCTCAGGCCCCACAGTTAGGCTTTTCTGGGTTCTAGAGTTCTATAACAGCATCTTGTCATTAGGCAAGTTCTTGCAACATAGTACATCCCTTTTCAGCAGTTTCCAATATATATTTATGAAGATGTCCAAAAATGTGAAGCCTCTACCCAAAAATGACAAACAAAACAATCATTAATGATCCCTTAACATCAGAGGGAAAGGTAGAAAGACTGCAGGTTTACATTTTTTTCCTGAAGTTTCCTGGGACGTTAGCTGTGGACAGTTGAGCTTGCTGTCTACCACTCACTCTTAAATACTTTCACTGATTCTATATTTATCTTTAAATCCTTTCCTATCTCTAACCCTGCTTAAGGCAGATAGGTAGTTCAACCATTGTAGACCTGGATAAAATTCATGACTACCAGGATGAGCCAGCACAGATTGGTACCACGGTATTGAGGAGAGCATTATATCACTGCAAAAGATAAATGGAACTCTGGACACATTCAAGAAAACAGTATGTGAAATATCCTAAGAAGTTCTCCAATGTGCCAATCATTCCTGTGACTCCTTGTGATTTCCAGATCACTATGAATGTACACGTGGCCATAAATGCTTCCAGCATACTTTCTGGGAAAATTGTTGGTAGTTCTGATAGGTTCTCATCATGATTATACAGAAAAATGGAGATCTATTAGAATTGCCAGCTAGGGATACACAGTAGAAGGACATTTTACAAAGAAATGGTGGAAAACCCGGAGAAACTAATTTGCCATTACACGCAGTCTCTGTACACCTATCAGTATGTAGACTGAGCAGATTGAATCGTACAATCACCAACGTTGGCAAAGACCTTCAGATCATCTAGTCCAAACATCCACCAACCATCAATATTTCCTCACTAAACCACATACCTTAGTACAACATCTAAATGTTTCTTAAACACCTCTGGGGACAGTGAATCAACCACCTCCCTAAGCAGCTCATTCCACAGCTCTGTATTCCAGAGCTCTTTGCTCTTTCAGAGAAGACATTTTTCCTAACATCCAATCTGAACCTTCCCTGCTGCAACCTGGGGCAATTCCCTCTAATCCTATTGTAGTTAAGCAGAAGAACAGGCCAAACCCCCCACCTTGGCACAACCTCCCTTCAGGCAGTTGTAGAGGGCTATAAGGTCTCTTCTGAGCCTTCTCTTCTCCAGACTGAACCATTCCAGTTCCCTCGGTCGCTCCCCATAAGACTTGTGCTCCATACCCCTCACCAGTTTTGTTGCCCTTCTCTGGATGAGCCTCAGGGCCTCAAGGTCTTTCTTATAGTGAAGTGTCCGAAACTGAACACAATACTCAAGGTTTGAGGTTGTTGTGGCCAAAGTGCAGGATCCAGCACATAGTATTGTTGAACTTCAACCCACTGGCCTCAGCCCAGAGATCCAGATAAAATATAGTATCTCAAATAAAGTGTCTCACTGCAGAAAATCTGTTGCATATTCATAGGTGTAAACATCCCATTTTTGTCTGTTGTTTGAAAACATCCAACATACTTCAGCAGTATCTAAATACAAGTTATGCTAGTCAGTACTATTCACCAGCTAAGCTTATTACCCCATCAAAGCTTACCATGTACATTTGATCCAAGTTTTGTGGAAACATAAGAATGTATAGTGAACAAATGTATTCTTTATAAACCAAGTATTCAGGCCCTGCTTGTACAAAGCTAGATTGTCATCTTCAGTTAATAGCACAGAATTTTGCATCAGCTCAGCTATGACCAAGACCACATTAGAGTGGTCTCTAACTATTAGTTATTTTATTTTTCCTTTTAACTATGCACATCTTGCTTACTTCAGGAAGTAGGAAACATAAATCATACAAAGCGTTAATACCTAAGTACTATTGACCCTTGGTAGGTATTTTAAATCATGACCTGTTTCACTGAGTCCAAACAACCCCAAGGTAGTGTGAAATGTCAACACTACCAGTACGTAATACCAAATGGTTCATGAAGAGAGTTACAAATTCAACAGTTCTGACTTACGTTGATGAAGAGTAGCGTCAGTGGCTGCATATGATCTCCTGTGTTTCACAGTAGTTTAACTAAGACCAGAATCTCCCACCATGGCCATTTCAGAGCTGACCTTTAGACTTCCATAAAGAATGAAATATTACAAGAATAGTACAGCGTGTCTAACAGTGGGTGTGCAGAAAATCCTGGCTGCTAGACAAGGAAGAGAAGAAACAACACACAGCAGCTGCTTTAGGGACATACGAACATCAGACTCATTTAGAAATTTGTAACACAGCAACAAACTAAAAGCAGCACCCAGTCAGTACCAGCATCGGTGGTTTGGACACAGCTCAGGTGATGACAGCAGTGTAGGCTATGGCTTCATTAGAGTTGTTGTTTAGCCTTTATCATCTGTTATCATAGTTCATTTGCGGTCTATTCATGAACTAGGACTCACATACCACTGGAAAAGGAGATTACTGTTTCAGAAATCTTAGTGAGCTTAAGGAGGTGATTATTACTTTGCAAAAAAAAAATAGTAAACACTGTGTTTGATCATTAATAAGGTGGCAAATTTGGCCCAACCTAATTGCACACAATACCTTATTAAAACACAGGGAAGTATTGCTAGTTATCATAGCAGAAGAGATCTGGAGGGATTTGAAACAGGATGACAATATAGCCTTGTGAAAAGAAAACCACATGAAAGAGAAAAAGCATGCTTGTATTGAATTGAATCTCTGTAGCAAAAACCTGAGCACCCAAGCACAGATAATAGTGTCCTCAAAACAAGAAGGGTTTTGTTTCAAAAAGAAATTAAAAAAATCAAAACAATACGGTCTAAGCAACCAGTGAAGAGTCAAAGACTGAAGCTCAAGTCCAAGCAAGAGGCAAGTAGAAGGTGCTCCAGTAAATGGAAGCAATGACAATGAGATGATTTTTATCTGTGATGATGGTTAAAGTATAGCGAGGGAAAAAGAAAGCTGGCAGAAATTGATTGACTCAGAAGTTGTAAAGGTGGCTCTGCACATAGGGCATTCATTTACACTAGAAAAATGAAAGGAGGACAGCGTAAGTCCATCGTGGAAAAAGACAGCTGGGAGATCAGATCTTTTCCTTACTGGTTTTGCTAGGAAAAAAGCCACTGCTAAGCATGAATAAGGGCCTTACCATGAGGGACAGAACAAGGTTTCAGAAGCAAAGAAAGCAAAATGTGGGAAATGATTTCAATTGAAGTGATCAACACTGAATTCATGGAAAGACT